TTTTTTAATTCTTTTTTAAACCTTCGCAGTCGCGAGTTGGAGGGGTGGGAGCGTACGGGTCGGCGGATGGGACAGGGAGGGGCTGGGAGTTCCAGCCCCTCTCCCTCAGGTGCTCAAACGCGCCAATCCAAGAGGCACGGTTTCCAAACCCTCGGCCCTGCGCCCCGGCGGGAAGAGCCAATCAGAAGTGCCCATACGAAAAGCCAATTCGGGGGGCCGGCAAGACACTCCGGCCAATGAGAAAGTAGAGGGAGCGCGCCCCGGCCGGTCCTGGTTGGGCGGGCGGCGCCCGGGGGCGCCTGCAGCCGCGCTCATTGGCGCTGCGGTGCGCGCTTTCGCGGCCGGCGGTTAGAGTTCCGCTTTGCGTTTTGTTAGCGCGGGGAGGCGGCGACCCCGGAGGGTGGGGCTCCCCGACCGAGGCCCGGGCGCAGACCCGCCTTCCCTCCCACCTCCCCTTTTTTTTGGAGCGTGCTTCCTGGCAGAGTTGCCCGAGAGACTCGGCAAATGGCTGACGGGCTCGCTCGCCGCTCGGCGCCTGCCGGGCGTCCAGTTTGCAGCGGGAGCGAGCCGCGGCCCGGCCCCAGGCCGTCGGATCACAACAAACACCGCCCTGGATCACAACAGACACCGCCCTAGACAGGCAGGGCTCCGCCGCACGCGGCTGGCGCGGCCGCGCCCCCGGGCTGGCTCTGCGGGCTCGTCCCTCGCGGCAGAAGCTTCGGCGGGTTCTGGCGCGAGCTGGTACCGAGGGACCCAAAGGCAGGCACCCAGGCGGCCGTGTCCGTTTGGGGGGGATTTGGTTTTGTAGGCTCTACCTTAGATGTGAGGTGATCTCACAGTGCGGTGCTGCAGTTGACGAGAGAACTCAGGAAACCCGTCCAAGTGGGGGTTTGGTTTGCTTTTGTTTTGTTTTGGTGACCGCTGTGTGGCCGGGCTGTTTTGAGGGCGCTAGGGATAACACGTGAAGTGCACTCCCTGCTCTAGAGTCTACGGAGCCCGAGGTTCAGCCGGTGATTTGAAATAATGTAAATGGTAGGTAAAGAGGGTAACCGCTGCTTTAGATGGGACAGCCTAGAAAGACTTGAGGTTTTGGTAGTCGGCTCCCGGAAGCGCACCTTGAAAGGAATGGTTCCCCCCGCAGAGGAAGAGCTGCTCCTCGCAGCTGTCTCAAGGCGTTGAAGCTTTGGGAGCTTGGTGTTTGGGGAAGCAGTGAGGGCAGGATGCTTTCCGCACAGAGAGTCTAAGGAAGACTGGAGGAATGGCCGTGGGTTTCACGTTCATGGGGACCAGCAGGAGGCACGTCTTCCCCAGAGTCACCCTCAGCAGCCTAAGGAGTTCCCGTCAACTTTAGGGACCTGCACAAAGTCCAAACTGGGATTCACGGTTTAGTCACAGAAACACATTTTCAGACCGGCCAGTTTGAAGCAGGCTTGGAGTTTAAAGATACTTACTGCTAGGGTGAGGGTAAGGGTTCAGAGAGGCTCAGTGGGAAAGGTAAGACGTAAGGGAACATGGGCGTGAGCGTCTCAAAGAGTCCCAGAGAGACCCGCGCAGGTGTGGGGACAGTCGTGGCTCTCAGTCATCGATAGGATTTTGATGGTATTTGAAGTTTCTATTCGTAAAGGGTTTCTAAGAAACCGGAAATGACATCTCTGAAGGGTTTCTAGGGGACTCCTGACGGGATTACGGTTGGTAAAGTAAAAATCTAGCCCACAGGGATACTGAGGGCTAGGAAAACAAAACTAACAGTTCATTTAAAAGACTCACTTGATACCTAGGGAAAGGAATGAGGCTCCACTCAGCGTCATACACACTCGAGCGTTAAGTCTGGGACATTGTTACTTTAAATACCTTTGTACAAATAGCGCTGTGTAGGCAGCCTACAGCAAAGCCTTTGGGATTCCAGTCACACTCCAAGGCTAGAGAGCTTTTCCCCTGCCCGTGTTCCTTCCCGAAATTTCCCCCTTCTGTCCTGTCAGAGCTCTGATTAAATTGGCTGAATGCCATCAAATAGTTCTGAACAAGTAGGTAGCAAGGCTTATAAAGTGAATTGTGAGCCAGGCTGTGGTAGCACACAGCTTTAATCCCAGCGCTCAGGAGGCAGAGACAGGTGGATCTGTGAGTTCCAGGGCAACCTGGGCTGTTAACACAGAGAAACCCTGTAGACGAATTGCTAAACGGTCTCATTAAATAAAAAACTTGGAGCCAGGTATTGGGGTGAACACTGAAAGATCAGAGAAGCAGAACAAGTCACGACTAAACTCACCTCACCAACTTCTCAGCCCATCCGGTTTCCTCTGACTCCTCATCTGAATCTCAGCTGAACTGCTGCTAAAAGCTTAAAAGCCTCTATCTAGTTCTTGTCTTTCTGCTTCCTGCCATCACTTCCTGGGATTAAATTAGGTATGAGTCACCATGCCTGGCTATTTCCAGTGTGGCCTTGAACTCACAGAGATCCAGATGGATCTCTGCCTCCCAAGTGATAGGATTAAAGGTGTGAGTGCCACCATTTTCTGGCCTCTGTGTCTATCTAGTGGCTGTTCTGTTCTCTGACCCCAGATAAGTTTATTAAGGTGCACAATATATTGGGGGACACAATGTCACCACAAAACCCTGTCCTCGAAAATAAAAATTTTTAAAAAGTGACTTGTGATGGAGAAGACTGGACCTCAGGGCACAAGATCCACAAGAAAGATCCACTTAAAAGGAATAAATGGTGACTTGAAATAAGGTGACAATGGAAACATGTAAGTAGGAGTCACACCAGGTGTGGTGGTGCACACCTGTCATTCCCTCACTGAGGAGGCTGAGGCAAGAAAATTACCAGAAATCCAAAGGTCTGGTGTTCTTCAGCATACTGACATATATATATATATATTAGTAATATATAATATATTATATATTATATATATAGTAATATATAACATTTTATATATATATAGTAATATATATATATATATAATATTACCTATTATGCTAGCACTTTGAAGGCTCAGGAGAATCATGAGTCACAGCCCATTTCAGCTGTATAGTGAGATCTTATCTCAAGAAGGGGGAAGACCAACCAGTGCCATGGTGGTTCAGTGGGCAAAAATGCTTTCTGTGAAGCCAGAGAACCTTGAAACCCTGAGTGGAAGGATAAAACCAACTTCCATATGTCCTCTGACTACACGAATACCCTGGTATGTGCCTGCACTCGCTTACATACAATAACTTTTGAAAAGATAAAGTTGCCTATTCACATGAGACATACCTAAAGAGACAAAGGCCAGAGCCAGCAGATACATAGGAGACAAAGCCCGAGTTAATATAAATCAGTCTTAGGTTGTCATCCTGTGCAATCCACTGGCCGAGTCACATTTTTATATTAACAATATGGGGGTTTGAAAGAAAATGGCCCCCAAAGGGAGTGGCACTATTAGAAGGTCTGGCCTTGTTGGAGGAAGAGTGTCACTGTGGGGCGGGCTTTGAGGTCTCTGCTCAAGCTTCTCTCTGTGTGACTGTCAGTTGACTTCCTGTTGCCTCTAAATCAAGATGTAGGACTCTCAGCTCCAGTACCACATATGCTTGCGTGCTGCCATGCTCCCTCTCATGATGGACTGAACCTCTAAAACTATAAGTGAGCCCCCTCAAATGTTTTCATTTATGAGTTGCTGTGATCATGGTGTCTTTGTTTTTTCTTTTGGTTTTCCAAGACAGGGTTTCTCTGTGTAGCTTTGCACCTTTCCGGATCTCGCTCTGTAGACCAGGCTGGCCTCGAACTCACAAAGATCCGCCTGCCTCTGCCTCCCGAGTGCTGGGATTAAAGGCGTGCGCCACCACTGCCCGCCATGGTGTCTTTTCATAGCAATAAAAACCCAATTAAGCTGGGCAGTGGTGGCACTCACTTTTAATCCTAGCACTCGGAGAGGCAGAGCCAGGCAGATCTCTGTGAGTTCGAGGCCAGCCTGGTCTACAAATTGAGATCCAGGACAGGCACCAAAACTACACAGAGAAACCCTGTCAGGGGGCGGGGGCGGGGGTGGGGGTGGGGAGGGAAGGACAGGTACCCTAAGACACAGAATAAGAGATACTTTCAAACTTTACCTGGCTAACCAAGTCTAATTTTCCATTTCCTTGAGATCTGACTATAAACAGTATACATTATCAATATTTAGTTCATACAACTTTATTCTGGGAAAGTATATGCCCAACTAAAAATAATAAAGGGGACAATTAGCATTCTTTGCTATATTTTTTTTTTCTGCCTTAGCTAGGATTTCTATTGCTGCAACAAAACACCATGACCAAAGAGCAAGTTGGGGAGGAAAGGGTTTATTTGGCTTATACTTCAGCATTGCTGCTATTCATCACTGAATTAAGTCAGGACAGAAACTCAAACAAGGCAGGAACCTGAAGGCAGGAGCTGGTGCAGAGGCCATGGAGGAGTGCTTCTTATTGGTTTGCTTCATTGCTTTCTTGGAGAACCCAGAACTACCAGCCCAGGGATGGCTCCACCCATGATGGGCTGGACCCTCTGCCATTGATGGTTGAGAAAATTCCTTACAGCTGGATTTCATGGAGGCATCTCCTCAACTGAGGCTCCTTCCTCTCTGATGACTCTAGTTTGTGTCATGTTGACACACAAAACCAGCTACTACATATACTCATGCAAAACAAAACAAAACAACCTAGAGAAGGTTTCTCAGAAGGTGAAAAAAATGGAATAAGGACATCTTTTGGTCCTTTGAATTTACTAGCTATCATTTGCCCCCTGTGGTAGATATGGGGGTGTGCTCTCCATGATCCCTTCCATCCTGAAAATCCCACTGCAACTGAGGCTGACCTTCACCAATGGTCTCTCATGGTGCCAAGCCGTAGCTGCTGTCCATGACCTTCAAAACCAATATAAGCTAAGAAACTCTTACGAATTACCCCTTCAAAACCAATATAAGCTAAGAAACTCTTACGCATTACCAAATCCAGCTGCCAGCACAAGGTACAGCAGCCTTGGAACTCTCTGGATCATAGGTTCTGTGTGTTGATCCTGAGAAAACACTTCCCAGAAGCTTTTGCTTCAATGATGCCTGCCTCTTCTTAATCACAACTAATTTTTCAGCCCCAGCTGACCTGAACCACAGATTCTTAGTTGAAAATACTGAATGGTCCCACTAAATTCTGTAATGGATTCTAAAAACTTCCCTCTGAAACTTACAAGCCAGGCAGCCATCATCTGCACTGCTCTCAGCATTCTCTTTTAAATTACTGCAATAATAGCTGAGTTCTGAACACTCACTGGCTTTTCTAGCCCAAAGTTCCCAAATCCTTCTACAATGCTCCCCCACCATGATCAGGTTTGTCACAACAATACCGCACTTCTGGAACCAATTTCTGCTGTAGGTTTTCTGTTGCTGTGGTAACACGACTAAAAGCAACGTAGAGAGGAAATAGTTAATTTCATCTTAACTTCTAAGTAATGGTCCATCACTGAGAAGTTGAGGAAGGAACTGAAGCAGACGCCAAGGAGGAGAGCTGTTTACTAGCTTGTTCCCCATAGCTTGCTCAGCCCATTGTCTTGGACAGCTCAGGACCATCTGCCCAGCACTGGCACCACTCATAGTGGGCCGGGCCCTCCACGTCAATCATTTATCAAGAAAGTGCACCGCAGGATTTCCCACAGGCCATTCTGACGGGGGCATTTCTCAAATGAGGTTCCCTCTTCTCAAATGATTCTGCCTTATGTCAAGTTGAGAAAAACA